CCATTGGAAGTTAGTGCAGACTGAGGCACCAGCCACCCTAGGCCTTTATGGCAATCCCACTCCGTGGAGTCTGAGTCAGGCTTAGGGGCTCCGGTCTCTCGATGCCGCCTCTGGTTTTCTTTACTCTCTGAACGCTGGGGTCGGCGGATGTAGCAATAGCAGATAAGGTCTGCTATCTGCTATTGCTCTCCGACTATGTCTCTGATGATGAATCCGCGACGGATATCGAAACGTCAGGATGCAGCAAGGTAGAGTGTAGTAGATGCAATGCAAGTCGAACTAATCCACGCTTAAGTCACTGTGCCGCCTGCACGACCAAGTTGGGAAGCTCAGGATGGACATTGTCCAATTCGACGGCTGAACTGTCGTGCCAGACGTTGGACGGGATTCGCGCCGCTTCAAGCACTGCACTGCAACCAAGCTCAAGCAAATCCCTGGTGCGTGGGACGAGGGCGAGTAAGTTCGATTCTGAGGTTCTGTTTCCCACGGCCATTTGGCGCATTCTTCGCTGCAGCTAATCTCACGAGCTTGAACCTATCCCGATACGCTTGAAATCGGGGTCTGGGAGGGTTCCAACTGATGGACAACTCGTACTGGTCCCTTGTTGCTTTTATGTAAGATCTGAACCGTCTCTCCATTTGGTTGAGGTCTGGGTCGCTTGAAGATGAGGCGCAATATCGCCAGCCACTACGCCTGCGGCCGTCTCCTGTCCTCTTCCTGGCTTTAGGATGTAGTAGATGGCAGGGTGAGTTGGATTCTTTGCAAGTATTTTTCAATACAAGCAAGCTGACACGCATACTGCAGCACAGTCCTCGGCACAGTGTAGTAAACTGCGTTCCTGTGTGACGATCGAACTGTCAATGCGCGCACCTTTACCGTGAGAGCGCATGGCCGGGAGGCCACAAATACCGGTTCAACGTCTCTAATCGTGCGTTTCGGGATCCCAAAGACTGCATAAGGGGCTTAAAGTATTCTGGCCGGAAACTGTGTAATAGAGTTGTTTCTTCGAAACCGAGAGCTATTAGGTTATTATCGCGTACGGAAAACGATCGAAAAGAATCTGCGTGTTTTACTCTCCGTAAGAACTGTGCTGCTGGGTGGCCCGTGTTGAGTTAAATTTTCTACCTCAAGTACAAAGTAGTTGTTATGCTTTCTAGTAATCTAATGTCGACATTGCTGAGGCGTCCTACCTGGATCCTCCAGGAAACACGTAGGACGATTAACACAGTTTCTTTGCTGCTTACAACCTTAGAAAAAGTCAAATGTTCCGGTGACCTAGCATTCCCAACTGCTACAGCTCATGTTGCTAGCAAATGTATGCGCTACTTTTATTAGTGGTTAA